TTGATTATGAGATTGAGAATGATAAACTCAATCACAAAGACTCAATACAAAACATCTTTATTTAACACTAGTAGATAGAGGAATCTTCACTGAAACACAAAACATTGATCATAATCTTCCGAAATATATTTTACTGTTGAATGTGATCGAACGTTCAATGCATAGCTAGTCGAATCAAACAGAGACAATTTCAACCAAAGGACATACATAAACCTCTATGGCCGAACGTTCAACGCATCGCAAGCCAATCAAACATAGACAATTTCAACCAAAGAACATATATAAACCTCTCTACAAGATTGGTGTGGGTACTAACCTAATCGGTCAAGGTCGACAATCTCTGATTCAACTATTAGAGTCACCTCACAAGCACCTACTTAGAGGTCATTGGTGAACCTCCTTATTTTCCTATTGACAAAAGATTGTTCAGTAAGGAAGAATCAGACGAGGAACATTCAGCAGATAGTTCCTCGAGTTCTTAACCAACAAAAGAATAACTGAAGAAAGAGAGGTTCATCATATGATTTAGAGACAACGAAAATTTGGAAGATAATTATAGCGGGACGCTTCCATTAGTAGTAACTCTCGTGATGGACCACCACATAATCCCGAGAAACCTTAACGATTACGAAATTTCTTGTGACGTCATCTACACTAACGTGTTTATAGAAACAAGGCTTATTAAGAAAAAAGTATGATTCGAGTGCATCCCATAATGTGAAGGGGCGTTTGTACCACTAAAAGTGGTTGTCTCCATCCTGCCAGTCCTATATAGATCTTCGATCAAGGAGACATTATATCTTTACTTATTAGAAGCAGTTAGTATCGTCCTCATTTGAGAAGCATACTCTGTTCAAAAGTCAGTCCACTTCGTATCTAAAGCTCTCGTAGGACCGATACATGCTACCAGAAGATAGAGAAGATTGCCCTTGCATTAATAATGGCCTCAAGAAAGTTATGACATTACTGTCATACCCTAGTTTTGCCCATATATCAATAAATTGATTTAATCGTCTGATCATTTGCATTTTTATACATCTTTTGCATCATGTACTCATTTTCAATCATTTTTTATATTTTTTATATCATTTATGTCCCCATTTCATTACATATTTCATTCTTTTACACTGACTTGAGATTCAAGACCCCTAGTTTGAAGTTATGAGTTAATTGTGAACAATTGAAATTCATCACCCCAAGTTTCATTCATCCATTTCATCACATTTCAATGTCATTTTACATGGTCATTCACACAAATTTCTCATATCATGACTTCATTTTCATTCTAATCAAATTCATCATTTCATTATGTACCCTAGCATTTTAATTCATGCATATTAATCGCTCATTCAGTCCATATCCATGGCATTCATGCTTTGTTTCTAAAAGAGGAAGTATGTTCAACTACAAAGTAATTTGAATTTACAAAGGTACATAAAACTCATTCCAAATGTTCATTAATTTTGAATGGAAAGATACATTGTTTTATTGGTACAAACAAGCTAACATATACAAATTACAAGTACTTTACAAGGTTTACAAGTCCAAAAATAATAAAGGTTACACTATTCTCACTCACTTAATAAGGAGAAAATCCTAAAAACATTTCTAACCAGCACCAGTCATTTAAGTCAAGTCTAACTCCATCTCCCCTAACCTTACTCAAAGCCTTCCTCCTAAGATAATTAGAGCTTCATAGAGAATCTCTAAACATCCTGAAATAAACCCCTATACCATAAGAAACATCACGCACAACAAAGCAGAAACAAAAAAGAAGTAGAAAAAAAAGAAGAATTGGAAACAAAGAGCAAAAAGGAAAGAGGAATAAGTGTTACCTAAGATTTTGTGGCCTTGCAGAAAATCGTCGATGCCGCGCCGTAGCTTAAAAACCCTCGTCAGAGTCCCATTTGGTAGTTTTTAATTTGTTTTTCTATTGATATAGCGTTCGATTTACGTTTCTCCTTGTTAATTTGTAACCATCAATTGTAATTATTTGATTTAATGAAGATTTAGTGTTAGGTTTTTCGATCTGCTTGATTTCTTGTGTGTTTGATTAAATTCGTGTTTGATTTGGGGTCGGGATGTGATTTTAGGGTGAGTTTGTATTTACTCTTTAGGATCTGTTTGGTTCAAATGAGGGGGAGGGGAGGAGAGGGATTTTAATGAAGGAAAGGGGAGGGGAGGAGAGGTGAAAGATTTTTTTAATTAGATAAGTGTTTGGTTCAAAAGAGATGAGGGGAGAGGAAGAGAGAGATTTTAATTAAAAATGTGTTTGGTTCAGAAGGGGGGGGGGAGGGGTTTTATTAATAATTTACATTTTTATCCTTATGATCTTATATAAGTCATATGATATTAAAATTTGAAAAATTCATGCGTATTTTTGTTGGTAATAAAATTTCTAATATTTAGTGATTAAAAAAGTATTTATTTGTCACATAAAGTTAAAAAATTGAGTACAATTAATTCGACTTATAACTTTCCAACCTAAATTAAACTATATGCCAATAACATCGTTTAAATTGTGATGAATCATATAACAAAATAAATATATAAAATAACTTATAATTAAATATTAATGGTTCAAAATATTTAATAAAATGAATAAACAAAAATAAATAAAATGAATGGTTTACAATTTGATATAAAAGAAAATATGATAGAATACATAACAAAATTAAAAGAAAAAAACGAATATAACTAAACATAATTTTTTTATAAAAAAAAAGACAATGATTATGATTTATCTTAAGTATAAAAATTATAAAATAATTTGAAGATGGAAAACAATTATAATAAGTTGATGGAAACAATCGAGAAAAAGCAGTAACACGGAAAAAAAAAATGAATAATTTTGAAATACTGAAATTAAACTGAGGATATTTTAGTAAATATAATAATTTTTAAATATCAAAACTCATATTCTCCCCCCTCCCCTCCAAATCTCCCCAATTCAGAGGGAACCAAAAAGTGTATTTTGGAGGGATTTTGCTCCCCTCCCCTCCCTTCCTAAGATTTAAACCAAACATATTTAATTGAGGGGTTTATGTGTTTGTAGAGAGAGAGTTTCTGAGAGGAAAAATAGAGAATAATATATGTAAAATGAGAGAGAAGTTGTGGTATGCGTCTTTTGTGCAATCTCTCTCTCTCTCTCTCGCGCGCAAACAAGCACACATGGCTCTCTATGAGCCCTCGATTGGGATGACTTAGTTGTTGACTTGGGGCCCTGTACAGGGCACCCCAACATACACCCTTTTTTTTGTGCGTTGGATCAATCCAAAGGCCCTGAATAGATCAGACCATCACCACTTGATGTTAATCGGACGACCAAGCGCTATTTCTTTTCTTATGTAACTATCTGATTTTAATTGGGCCCTATGTCTTTGGGCTTTATTGGTTTTTTACTCAGCGTCTTCCTTACCCGCGTTTTTCCTTTTACACCCTCTATATTAAAAGATAGAATGGAGTTATGCCCCTGCTTGCAGGCCCAGGCACCTCGTTGGGTCCCCCCCCCCCCCCCCCCCCCCCCCCCCCCGTGTGCAAGAAGTAAGAACGCATTCCGCTCGAATGCGATGAGAACATAAATCTGTGAGATTCCAAGTTATGTTGTCCATTCTAATGCGATGTCAATATTCACTTCTCTATGTTTTGAATAGCAAACAATGTTTTTCGTTCAAATGCAACTAATAAGTACCTTTCACAAAAATCGACTAACCATCAGACATTTTATACGTAGAACCACATAGCTTTGAGTTTTCCATTGCACTTGAGGATACATAAGAGCAAGATTTAACGTCTTGTCAAACAGCTTAATAAAAAAAATTATTTAACGTCTTTTCACTTTTAATTTCTTGAAGAAAACAATAACAAAACTAACATTTTATTCGCAAAGTTAACTAAACGGTTCCCCTTTAATATAAGGGATGTGAAGGGTGTTAATATATTTTCCTCGCATAAACAACTCTTGAACCAAAATTTGATTGTGATGACTATTTTTTATATGCGTTTTATTGATATTTTTTCTTTCCTTTTAAAATGAATAAACTTGACTAACAACTTTATTATTATTTCGAACCTGCGAACGCTCGTAGTATCTTTTGCACTCTAGTTTGTCCGAGTCAACTTACTCCTTAAAAAAGATTCTCCACGTACCATATCTAACAAGGCGGATGACAAAATGGTTTGTTGGAATCTCATAAAAATACACGTCTCCTTCGAATCAAGAAATATGTGACTTAAATATTTGTGAACTTTTTGATTTAACTAACACCAGTCACTCTAAAATCAAGTGTTAGCGTTCATAGACAAATCGTCTAATAACGGAGGAGTAACATCAACCTCATATTAAAAAGTGAGATCAAAATAACTATCAAAATATCAAATTCGCAACTATTAAATAAAATATGAAGCTTTCATCGTCGATCCGAAATGAGCAATAAAAAAAGTTTTTTTTAAATAGCAAAAAAAAATTATGCAATAAAGAAATTAAGTTGCAAAGAAACCAAAATCAAAGATCCATAGTTGCATAAGTATGTCACGCTAACCAGAGAGATGTTCGCCAGGAGGGAGCAAAACCAAATTTGAAAGTATCATATTTTACTTAATGTCAATACATTTATCAAACCTACTCGACCAAAACAAAATTGATTTTGTTTCCATTGATTGAGACACTTTCGCTTATAAAAAACACTAATATAATTTTGAATTTAGTTTGTATTAATAGATAAAATATTGTAACAAGAGAAATGAAAGAGAAAGCTAGACGGGGTTGTAAAGGGATAGCACTACGTAATACGTATTATATACATTGAAGCAGCAGTTACATACTGATACTAGTAGAGATAACAAAACAAAACAAATACACACATAATTATGCATTACTCTTAAATTTACTACTCCTGTAATTGAACATTAATTAAGTTCATAGATATATACAAAAGTCACGTACACCTATAGAATCCTCATAATAAGGCAGTGTTAATATATATTTATGATGGATCTGTTCAACACATTACATCCTTGAGAAGCTTATACCTGCGTGTGGCTTGTCTCGGTGACGGCACCGGACTCTTCCTCTTCTCCGAACACTTGTCCTCCCGATGCTGTTTCAATATATTCTCGCCGGGACATCCTGAACTACTTTTGATCTTCACCGTCACCGCCGGTTTCTTGGAGCCAAGACTGCTTTTCCCTTTACTTTGGCACCAATCGCACTCTTCAATCTCACTCAGTTCTCCATAGAAGTTACTACAATACCTAAAGTTAACATGAATTCATTTCATTGTTATGGATTGAGAATAATAATTAGTAGAAGAAATTGAAGAAAGATGTGATGAATCCACTTACGAGTGTTGGAAGCGGTGATGACAGTTGTTGCATCGGAAAAGTTTGTCAGTGAAACCAACATCACCGCACATGCAGCACACGATTTGAAGATCCACCATAGTAACTTTCAAATGGGAAAACTCAGAGCAACACGCAGAGAATGAGAAAGTTTATGAATATATAGCAATAAGTTTAAGTGAGTCGGTTTCATAAATTAAATAAAAAATAAAAAGTATAAAGAAAATTACAAAAGCAAATACGCATACCACAGGTTGCTTGTAGTCCTTTTCAGTTAAGGCAGACTAGGGGAACCTTAAAAAAGAAATATTTTAAATGACATTTTTGCCCCTTTGCCTACAACTATTTTGTCTTTTTTTAACAGTTTTTGTCCACTTGGTTGGTTTGGGTAACTTTGTTTAATCAATTAAAGTCGGTTTGTATACTGATCACAATCACGCTCCACGCATTGTCTCAAACAACACAATGTATAATAAATTTTTTTCATGTTTATGTGCTTGTACTATATGACACAAAAATGAGTGCAAGTCTATGTTACTATAAATATTTTCTATTCAGAATTATGTAAATTTGCACAAATATTTTCTATTTTTAGAAATACAATCTGAGATGCATTTAAATGTATGATAACGTTAAAATATTTTGAAAATGTATCTTCAGACTATTTTGAAAAAATAAATTGGTTGAGACTCTTCTTTTTTTTTATTTTACAATTTTCTCAAACTCAACTCAACCTCTCCCAATATACTACTCTACACAAAGTCAAATTTTATCAAACAAGACTCAAGAGAACATCAATCTTCATATGTAATATTATCTAATTTCATCAAAAACATCAATTCTCATAAGTAAGATTATCTAATTTCATCAAAAACATCAATTTCAAGTAAGTTCTTTGAGTTTTCGATAAACGTTTGAGTTTTGGTGTAAATGAGTATAAATCAATTATTAGTGTTAGAAATGAGTAAAAATCACATCAAACATAGTTTAAACATAGTGTATTAGTTGATTGTTGACTAAAAATGGTGATCAGAACAAAAAATTTTGACCTTGCATGTGGTACACTACATCGTTGACGCAATTTTGAATTGTAGAAAATTCTGAAGATGTATCTACAAAATTGTTCAGCATTTAATTTTCTGCGGGAAGATCTGGCGATACATCTCTAAAATTTTTGAATGTTTTAGTTTCCTGGTGATTCTGAATATCATCTCCGGAATTTCCTACAATATCTTCTTTTTTATTTTCTTACTTGTGTGTTGTTTGCATGCACTAATGGTATGTCTTACTTTAACTTACAGACATAATAGTTGGTAGACATGAGAGACTGAGGCATAGAAGGGTTACTCAGCACACATCCGTTTGGCGCGAGCAAAGTCAGCAGGTTCTAGAGGCTCCAGGTCCCTCTAGTCAGGCAGAGTCATCTACTTTTAGGGCTCATGTAAAGGGAACATTTAAACAGAAGGGGTGAGATATAACAATTATATAAAGAAATGCATAATAATAAGTAAACATCAAATTATTACATGCATAATCACTCATTCCACCAATCACACTTCCACACTAATCCAAACACAACGACACAACAACTATGCAATGCAATGAGACTCAACACCATGACTCAATACATATGGTACCAATATGTGAACTCTCAGGTTCACCGCTCCATCCCCACCTTAGGATCAGAGCACACCAAAATTGTTACCATCATCATAGGTAACGCTTCACTAATTCCATCACCTTAGGAATTAGCTATTCGCATCCAATCCATCACCATAGGGTTGAGGTTCACCAAAATAGACCATTGTTCAACATCATGATGCATACAACATAATATGCATGCAATAACAACAAGTACAATGACATCACCTTAGTCAAGGTACCTCGCCAATAATAGCCACCATGCACCAAACACATGTTATAACATTAGGCAATAGAAACGCAATAATACAGCAAGCAACAACAACGCATTTGTACACATTTCACACCAAAACTTAAACACATCACATATCAAATACACCACCATGCACCAATGAATTTATCTTTCGGTACTCAAACTAATTTAAAGTTAAAGTACACTACTCCAACTTCCCGACACTTCAAACGGTACCCCAAACGGACACCCCTAGGTCAAGATATGGATTTTTAAAGATTACAAAATTAGTCTCAAGGTACAAAGTTTGTGCCAAAACAATAAAATCTATTATCTCAGTACAATATTCGTCATTGTACAATATACACAGCGGAAAAATTGTAATCTAAGCTTTCCTTGAAACATCCATGCATAGCTCCACTTGTAAACTAAACCTACACACAATTCCTAAAAAATAACAACAATAATGGGGTGACATAATAATCTTAGTGAGTTCCCATATCTTATGGTTTCACTCGACTTTACAGGGTTCCAATCAAATCTTAACTCAAGTCAAGGGAAAAGGGGAGTTAAGACTTGAGTTCACAAAACTCGAGATGCATGGAAACATGTCTCTTAAGTTCATCAACTCAAACAATCACTAACTCGAAAACCATACCAAGGAATTCGTCCCCGCCCTCACCCAAGTCTAGGAATTTCAGCACAGTTCAAGGATCCTTATATCATACTTTCGAGGCAACAAGGATGTAAGATGACCAAGATCTAAGTTGCAACAACTCTTGAAGCTTTTGGAAGATGAAGACTATGTTTTGAAATACAGAGTTTGTGAGGATAAAGTCACTGTTCGATATATATATATATATATATATATATATATATATATATATATATATATATATATATATATATATATATATATATATATATATATATATATATATATATATATATATATATATATATATATATATATATATATATATATATATATATATATATATATATATATATATATATATATATATATATATATATATATATATATATATATATATATATATATATATATATATATATATATATATATATATATATATATATATATATATATATATATATATATATATATATATATATATATATATATATATATATATATATATATATATATATATATATATATATATATATATATATATATATATATATATATATATATATATATATATATATATATATATATATATATATATATATATATATATATATATATATATATATATATATATATATATATATATATATATATATATATATATATATATATATATAAGAGTAATCCTGATCTCGTCATGTTATTCAATACTTTTTTCTCCGCGCTCTTAATTGACTTAACATACTGTTGTGAATCTTGTTCTGAATTACGAAAGAACTCTATGAATTTGTGAGGCAAATAACAATAGCAACCACAATAAATGGTCTTCATCAATAATAATCCGTACACAGATAATATAATAGAATAAGGCGAGAAAAAACCGAAGGTTTGTTTACCCAGCTTGATCAAACGATCTATTTTAGGGGAGAGAGCAGCTCTCCAATTCACTATACTTAAAAAGTTGTTACAAGATATTACAGATGATTTACAAGAAAATAGCTTTCGCCTTCAGGTTCCCAAGAACAACCCTGAAGACGCCCAAAAACAATCCTATTTTCTACCCAAGTGTTTCCCTACCTCTCCAGCTCTCAATATATGAATCACTCAAACCCAAAGTGTAATCCAAGGTTTTCTTTGTACATAAATACAACCCTATGTTATACCTTTAAACCCTTGGTCTCCCTTGTTGGTGAAAACTCTAAGATTGTCACACACCAAACATATAAGAGTTACATAATAGAAAATATCCAACAAATAAAGCCCAAAATCACATGGATCCATGGACTGAAGAGAAAAAGTCTGAAAACTTAAAAACACTATTCACCGTACGGATAACATTATTCACCGTACGGACGTCATTATTCACTGTACGGACGTCACTATTCACCGACCAATTTTTTTCCGAAGTATGTTTTTTTTCTCTTCATTAACAAAGATTTTAAGGCACATTTACAACAATCTCCACCTTGACTTTAAACCGTGTTGATACCAATTTAGCAATCAATAACATTGTTGCTCTATACCTAGTTGAAACTTTAATCAATAACTTTGATCAAATTCAAGCAACCATTGAATCTTGATCTTGCAACTTGCATCCACTTGTTCCCAATTATCCTTTTCTGCCTAGGTAATTTAACAAGACTACAAGTATGATTTTTCAACCACCCTTGACTCCACCTATTTTCAAAATCCTCCCTAAAGGTTTTTCTTCTTTTATTTTGCAGTCCTTCAGCCACATTAAAAACATAATATCCAAGGTTAGCATAATTGTCCCTTTGAGATGCTACAATAACCCTCCTTATCTTATCATGAGTCAAATGATAATCAGAGATCCCTGTAACCGTTTCCTCACTACTGATAGCATCTATAGTAGGAAAATCCACCTCAAACTGAGTTTCCTCCGTTATAGTTTCTCCCTTGGTTTTCACGATTCTTCTTCTGAAGAAATTCTCTATCAACCAAGTAAGTTGTTTTAACTTCAGCTCTTCCCCAAAAACTCAATAACAACTCAACGATAACATGCATTTTTATCCCTTGATTTCTGCAAAATTCATTGTACTCCTCTAAAACTTTCTCAAGGCATTCATAACGCCTTAAACTAAAATCCCATATCTCTTCCTTGTCATGAAAGCCTCCACTAGTTAACGATGAATGAATAATAACATTTGAACCTTCTAAAATATATAGACCACATATTTTAGACCCTTTAGCAATAATCAATTCATCACACAAAATCTTCAACACTCCACGTTCAACTCTAGTACAATAGCCTAGATCGTCAAACATACTTATAGATAAAAAAAATCGCTTGAGTTCTAGAACATACCTCACATTATGAATAAGAAGTTCACAATCATTAAACATTTTAAATCTGACCATAATAATACCATGAACCTTGCATGACTTATTATTACCAAGGCGAACTACTCTACCTTGCACCATCTTCAAAGTTTCAAAGTATTTTATTCTTGGACACATGTGATAAAAGCAACCTGAGTCAATGACCCAACTATCTTTAGTTTCCAAACTCGATACTACTAGTTCTTCGGCATCCTCATAACTTTCCTCACCCA